TTTGCTTGAACAGAAAGTTGTAGCTCCTGCAATATTTTCTGCGGGCACTGGGCTGTCAATATTTAAATGAATTATTGCAATGGACGTATGTATAAGTAAGTGAGGAGTAACCACAGTGATGTATGAAAGTCTTGGTGCTATTACTCTCAAAATCAATTTCGAAAAGAAATGCTCGTACCATTCGATTTGACGTCGCCATATTTCATGGTCACTTCGTAATACAATGTTTTATTAAATACGAGTGCGATTAATGACGCATCGTTATGGACAATTACTGTTATACAATATTTATTTTGTTTTACTTTTGACATGGTTATGAATTTAATAGTAGATGACTTTAATTTTATCTGACGCAGAAAATTAAGATTGTTTTAGATGGCATTTGCAGATATGAATTACACTTAGGCTTCGCTTCTTAGTTACCAACCCTAAGTCAATTTACTGTGGTCAATTCCAATATCTATTTAGTTTAGTGAGCGTTGGCAACAAAAATTAATTATTCAACAGCCAAAGATCCTCTCGAAACCTTTCCAATCCACTCAGAGATATGTATCAAAATCTGCTCGAGAATCTCACTGCACCCAATAAAGATCGCTCGTATGGCCTCTTGCAACCATACAAGGTATACGATGAGTACATTACGTAAACTCATATAAAAAACTTGTACAGATCTGGGTCACCATACGACATCTCGATTGATTTAAAAGCCACAGTATCGGCAATTTTTTCTTTCTCAAATTAATCGAAATCACTTGCAATTATCTGCTGAAAATGTCAAGATGAACTTGTGGTTTCGAAAAAGAGGTACGCCTTGGTAAAGGGTATTGTTTATGATGAGTAAACCATTGACGTTGTGCAAGGAGGTTGGAGCACTATGGACTAGTTTTTTAGCCTGCCTGCATATTCTTTCCCTTGCCTCTCTTGGTTGTAAAATGTGGTGAAGGCAAGAATCTTCATCAATATTATAAAAACTAGCCACCACCATCAGTATTGAGTTCCCACGCAAAAACACACACAACCAACAATATTTAATTTAACAATCTTAAATTATAGACTCCGAAAAATTTATTACAGCACCAAACAAAATGTCATTCCAACAAATCGCCACAAAAGTACGGAGGAATTAAGTAATAACGCGAGTAATTACAACGCAAATCAACAAAGTTAATATCCATTGACTTCCGATCAATGCAACTCCGTCATTCTTAATCACAGGAATCGAACCCGTACCAATTAGTTAGCGGAAAATGCTAATGGAATCGATTATAAATTAATAGGTACATATTGATTGTAAGGATATTGTACGAACAGAAATAGTTAGTTGTCCAAGCAAAACAGTAGCTTTAAGATTGAGTTAATTATGATTTTGCAGTAAAACTGATGTGCGCAATAAAGTTATTTCAGTTCTTGTAGAGTCGTTAGAATATGATTTATATTTTGTCCCAGAACAGTCCCTTGTGGCATTCCGTTTCTAAAAACATGCTCATAAAACAGCATCTAGTTTTCTTTTTGTTTACTATGCTCGTACTGACGTAATTAAACTGAACAAACAGATTTACATTATAATAATGATTTAATAACGTCCAAAATAGAATATAAGCATTGTTATCGAATAGCTATGATATCGAAAGCTTAAGTCAAATCCGAGAAAATTGCAAAAGCAATAACACGATCTCATCTGTGAGAACTTCCCTGATCTTGAGCCAACAGAGATGAGGATGAACTAGTATTATGCGGAATAACTTTTCTATTCAACACACGTTAGACATACTCGCGAATAAATCTATTCAAACGTCAGCCAAATAATGGCAATCAATTGCTATTCCGTTCAGATTCACATCTTGTTTAAACAATGCTGATCTGTATATCGTTTATGTCCGCGATTTTAGATTGGAAGTTAATTTATGACTGGTTAATTGTAGATTGGATTTACATATTCTTTGAGAATTTGATTTTCATTATCTGGAAGATAATCACTGATATCCTAAATCAGTTAAGTCTGCAGAATGAAGTCAAAAGGGACCTAATGAACACTGTATTAAAATACACTAACTATATTTGGGTAAGATCTCAAAATAGCATAAACATCAAATAACAAAACCAAACTTGACCCTATAACCAAATCTGCTGACTCAACACCATTTAAAGTCTAATACATTAACAATAATGCCGCAAGCTTGTCGCTGATACCAGCTTGTTACGAAACAGACCATAAGGCGTGGCTTTACGTCCAAAATGCGAACTGGCGCTTAATATTGTAGGTTATTATTAAATTTTCAAGCTTGTTTTTATTGAGATAAAGTTGAAAGTGTCTTAGAGATAATTTACAACCTGGAGCAACTTGATGGGCTGTTCGTACATACAGCTAAACATCGAGCTAAGAAAGCCAGTATAAACTGACTGTCAAATATGGAGAGATGTCATACAAAGTGAGACCGTATTAAACTGGTTTTGTATTGCTATTTGTACCTTTACTGTTATGAGATTACTGGGCACTGTTTTGTTTGTACTATCTCGGCTCAGATGGCGTATGATATAACATGTAATGTAGGCGTGGTGTTTGTGCGAAACACGTAATTTAATAAATTCAAATGTGAGCTGTGTAAACTTGCGAGTTGATAACTACATACATACAGACATACTTAATTTTATTATATGGACGTGTATGGATGCTAACGATTATGTAAGAGACATACTTTTCCTCAAAGGACTAGGTGAAGGTGTCATGGTACAAAAACACACATAACATGAACATTACGTCTTTTGATCCCCAAAAAACCTAGTAAATTAACACCTACTTTTCACCATGAGTTACAAGTCTCAAGTAATAGTCTGCTGTACCTAGAGCCATATACATACTCAGAAATCGCTCTAGTAACCACTTGACAAATCAGGCAGTTACACAAACACGATTAGACTGTTTTAAGGCTGTAGGCTATTTTAAGAACAGCTCCACAATCTACAACCCATAATGTAACAATCAAACATGGTTGTAACTTTCCCGACTTAAGCGACATCTATGCAGATAGGACAAAAATTGGAACTAAACAAAATATTTCATTTACTATAAAACACCACACCTAGCTCAAAGTATTTGATTAAAAAGTTTAAAATGAATGGATGATGTCTAGAGTCTAGACGATTCACATTTACGGCATAATGTTATAGACCAATCAAAAAACGAAGCAATTAAATCTAGTGATTTACTTGCAAATATTGTCGTAATATTGTTATTGTGATTACAATAAAATTAGTATATATAATTGTTAAACAACCTGTTTTTTGCGATTTCACCCTCATTCTTAGTCAAAGAAGTATCTGGGTGATAATTACCTATCTTGTCTGAACATTTCAAAAGTTCTGTCTTCATTGTAGGTAATAAATGTGATAAAAAAAATTAGAAACAACATCCAAAATAACGGTTAAAACCAGCTAATTATCTTCAAAAAGGTTTTCTCGCTAAAAAACACTCAATCAATATTTTAACAAGTTATTCGACCGATGTATCCAAACATGTTAAAACGACAATAATGTCGAGTGTCAAGTTTTTTCAACAGCTCTAAACGTGCGTCAGAAACATCGAAGTGAGGTAACGACACGTTGATGCGCGCTCTAAAGTCAAAAGGCCAACAACAGAAAGTATCGCCATATTGAAATGAACTCATCCATTACCACAACTCTGCGGTTTGTGGCCATTTAAACTTATAAAATAAACGATTCCATAACAAACCTATAAGATTTACAAATGCACATTCTTATTGCCTTGAAAACATTCGACTCTCTGTTTGCAATTTTGCAAAACATCTCGCAAACTAACGTTTAATACCGCAGATAGAGTGAAAGTAATGCGGTAACTGCATGAATTATGTATGTACGTGCGAGCTACTGGAATGCCGTATAACTTCCGAAAAAAAATCCGTATTACGCGAACAACAGCACGGCAACCTAAGTCACGTGTATTTTACAATACTGCAAACATGGCCGCCGTCCTTTGACAGCTGTCAAATGTTCCCGCCCTTTTTCAATAGGGAGATCGAATATTTTTTTTATTGTATTTGAGTTATTTTAGGAAGAAATATAAATTAAATAATTAAAGAAATTCCATTCAGAACAGGCCAACCCAGCACGTGGTAGGCATTGCAGGGAGCCAATCAGTGTTTTACGACATACAAATATAAAATTAAAGATGGACAGGTGTCCGATGAAAAAAAATGTGTATTTATAGATCATATCTATAAAATAAGACGTTTAATTAACACATCGCGTTTTGTAAGTTGCGTGTAATCAAATAAATATCACTTTTAATTACATATTTTAGGATACAACGATACGAAAACTTGATCAGATATTATTAAATGCGAAATCTTATTTGGCTTTGAGACATGTTTCGGTCTCATCAGGCAACTAATAATTTTACATTATATTTGCATTTATAATGAGGTACACAGAGAAAGAAATCCGGTTTTGCTAAAATTTCGTACAAAATAAACTGTAGATCACACTTATTAGTACTCAGAATGTCAAGCGTCGATTTCGTCAGATTTTTATGACTTTTCATACATCATATTTTATGCGTTATTTATTGTCTAATTTCTGTTAAACCGGAGATTATAGCAATTTATTTCAACTTTTATCTATTCAAGCTCCATGAATCGTAAAAAGTATAAGCAAATTACAATGACAAGTTTCTTGTCCACCAACTGTTATTTTCTAATATACAGTTTATGACAGAGATGTGAATTTTATCTCATTTTAAAGCACAATACATTTTTATTGACTTTGCCTTGGCCATCAATCAAAAACCCGGAATGAAGTCTACTTTTGGTATTTGATTACCATTGGTAAAATATTATCTCTATTTGACATGACTGTATTGTGACAGCTGTCATTGTGACATAAAAAAGTGATGGCAAATCAGTTGACATTCTGTAAAAAATTGACGCTGTCAACTTAATCTATTATCCATTAAAAATATTAATTTTATAATAATTAAGACTTACCTTTGTGTTAAGTGTGTGTGTAGAGAAGAATGAGCAAAGAAGAACAAATGCTGACAGCCAATGGGCCGACACGTACGGCGTCGACTCCATAGTGATTCTGAAACAAAAAAAAACAAAACGTTGTTATAATTTACTCTTAAAAATTGTCAAATCTATAAATTTCTAACATCTTTTCTATTATATCGAAGGACCTATTTTTAACGAAGGGACTATTTGAAATTGACTGCTGGAATGAATAGGTGGCTAAAAGCTGCAGCAGTTTTAATAATACCATGTTTCGGAGCAGACCTAAACAATTATTATGAAATATCTCAATCACATCAAAGCCTCAATCTCAATTCCTAAAATTAACCAAGCAGTCATAAAGTCCGTTAATAAATTCAGTTGATTATACAAACTAAATTAAAACAAGTCAACAAGTGTGTTTGCTAAGTAGATTTATGGTAATCCGTGGCAACGTCGTGAGGAGTGTATTTGTTAAATCTATTATTTTACTCACCCGTGTTATATTTAATATACTGCTGTTTGTTGTCCTTGATAAATAAATAAAAAAAAAAAAAAAAAAAAAAGTCACAGTTCAATGTCAGTATAAAGTGTAAAAGGAATGATTTCGACACTTTTTCTTTTATAAAATATATTAAAACATGTTTATATGCATTTTTATTTGCATTATTTAGAAAGGTGCAGGTGATTAGAGCTGCATATAATGAAAGGTCATGTGTATTAAATATTAATCAAATTACGTCTACATATTTCTCAATTTAATACTTAAAAATGTGATATAACTATACGCCTTTTTTATAATCAAGAGATGTGAATGCCCATTCTCATTATTTTAGATATATTGAGGTATCTTACTTCAGTACTGGGAATTGATTAAGTTATATGCCAGACTCACGTAACTGTTCGTGCTGATGCTCATTACTATGGGCTCTGAACTTGGGTTGAAACTGGTAGAGTGACCTCGTTACGTGAGTAATCCGTGCATCCCAATTATTATTAACTTAATAATGATGTCTCACGATATTCATATTAAGAGTATCCCCACAAGTTGAGTCACCATGCACATTAATTTCCTTATGATAGGGTTGTCACTTTTCCTTGCAAAATTCTCAGTACGGAGTTCAGATTGAAAGATAGCAAGTTATCTTGAGATCGCCGACGCAGTTGCAAATTACAGTCTTTGAGAACTTGTGTCTTTAAAGCCTTATCTTGTTTTAAACACAATTTAGGAAGTCTTATTCGCTGGAGGACTAATTGAGCAACGCGATACAGAACTTGATGCAAAAATTAATTGTAATGTAAGTTGTACTAGATGTATCTAATTCAAATTCAAATTCTTTATTGCGTTCCACAATGTTTGACTTAGGTGGTAACATAGAATAATACAGTTCATTGTGGACCCTGTCGGGCACAGCAAGGAAAAATATAATTTTAATACAAAAAAAAAACTATAAACTAGCATTACAGAGTCACAATACATTACATAAACGATATTAGAGCATTTTGATATAATTTATACGAACAAAAAACAAAAGACCAATTATTATTATTAATTAACAAATTACACACAATATTAAAATTACAGTACAGTTAACAAAATTTGTATTAACATTAAGAATTATTTAGAAATTATACTGTCATCAAAAAAGTCTTTAAGAGTGTAATAGCATCTTCCGATAACAGTTTAGGTAATTAAAAACAAAGTCACTATCCGCCGCCTGTCTGTCCCTATGTATGCTTAGATCTTTAAAACTACGCAACGGATCTTGATGCGGTTTTTTTAAATAGATAGAGTGATTCTTAAGTAAGGTTTATATATGTAATACATGCATATTGCACCCGTGCGAAACCGGCGCTGGTTGCTAGTTTTAATAAGTCTTGCATCCACGCAAGACTTGGGAAACCAAAAGTCGGTAAAGATTGATAGCAAATATTGTATTTCAGAGACTAATAATTATTTGAAGTTTCTGAAACGTCATTTCAAAATTTGAAATTATGACGTCTATCACAGATTATATACTTTATTATTTGTCGGTTGGTCATATTTTATGGGATTGGCAGGTAAGGGAACATGCTGATCACCTGACTGTAAGAAGATTCCATCCGTGGACGCTCGCATAATCAAAAGTTTTTCAATTGCGTTGCCAGCCTTATAATAATAATATACCTTATACCAATTTTCCTTAATACAAGACAATATAATTTTTATTTTGAGAGACATTTCTTCATCGTATGTCACGCTACCGCACATCAGCAACATCGTCCTACAACACGTACTCGTTACTCAAACAGTTGCGTGTAAAACAATGGTTAATATTACAGTAACAAATTCTGTATTGCGCAGTAATAAAGGCATTTTGTCCCGAAAATGTGAAGCTTAAGAAATTCTGTATTTCATACTGTCGCGTCGTGTAAAACGTCGTCTCATAACCGGCATATCGTGGTCTCGCGTTGAATGATCTTTTCGCACATACAACGGTCGGTTTATACTGGTTATGTATAACTTATGGTGCAGCTGTGTATCACTTATTGTTGAAATGTATGTTGTAGGTACTGAATGTTTTGAAGATCAGTATCTATGATATTATATTACATAAGTTTGCTGAGGACGTGTCTTCGTCTGCTTCTGAGTGTTAATACGACTTTGGTGGTTTTTCCAAAAAACTGTTTACTAATAATACCTACATACCTACTAAAAAATTTTTATGAAGATTTATCGAGTTGCTAAATGATGAGTGTTGATTCCTAGAGTTTCGGCAACGTCATTTTAATTACTTTGTTGATAGAATAAGCCATTTTTCTTAGTGTTTGTAACTAAGTAGGTACTCTGCAGAATATACAAAACTCGATCCCTAACGACATTGTTTCTAGAAATAATTATAATATAAAATAGAAAATATAACCTCAACTCACAGTGATCCAAATAAGTAACTACCCATAACTGAAAAATAAAAAGATCCATTATCAAATCACAGTTTTTTATTTTTCCTGGTATTACTCGTAAAAAAGGAGGATTTATAATTGCCGTGAAGTTGGCGTCAAGTTGGACAGATTGACACATCAAGTGTCATGCGATCGGAAGTGAGCGGCGATTGCACGCAGCGATGGCGGCCTTAGCATCATCTTGATAGCTTTCAACGCGTCCCCTCTATCAATTCAGGTCTCAGATTTTATTTAAGATACGAAAGGTTTAATTAATTTTGATCTTATTTAGTTACCGTACTAGATTTCAAGCTAGGTTGACAATGAGTTACTAAATTATTTACAATGTTTGTAACTCAACGCTCTTATGAACATTATATTTCTGGAACTCTAAAATATCTGCATTAATTTTGATGGACTTTGGGTAACTTGTACAGAATTTTCATTTCAGTAAGGAAAGCGTCTAAGGCTGAATAAGTAAGGCAGAAGTGAGTACAAACCACTTTCCCGAAAAAAATTATGTACCTAAATGTAAAGGTACGTGATTAGAAAATTATAAAAATCACCAAAAGGCTATCACTATTCCCACGCTACCAAGTCAAAATAAATCTATTAAACGAAACACGTGACAGGAAACGATCCTTTTAAGCAGTCATAGTACTAGACACGATAGTAGGTACAATGCCAAACATAGAATATCGTAGTGAGTGTATTAATGACCCATTAACCGAGCATTACTGGCCATATAATTAGCATAACGATAACTAAAGCGTAATTAATTCATGTGAACATAATCACGCATAATGTTTTCCCCATAGGAAGTCTTGTTAATGATGATGGGGCTATGATGGAGGATTTTCAAGGGAAACCAGATCATACGTGATTTATTTGCGTTGAGGAAGAAAATTTCTATGAAGACTGTTGGTTTATAGGTTTAAATTAAGAGGAAATTAGGGATAAAAAGTAATTCACTAGATACAAATGAAAAAAGACGATGAACATAATCGATGCAGGCGACTTTGAGTAATGACAGAACTTACATGAACCATACAAAATATTTAGATAGATTGAGAACCTCCAATGATGAGTTGATAGAACAATAGTGATAGATAACACAAGTGTTTTTTATATGAGTTGACTTAAAAAAATAATGATTTATTAGTAAAATTGTATGCAATAAGCCGTTTAAATTACAATTCATTCCGAAATGATTATTAGTTTTCACAGTTGCATTGATTAAAAATAAAACAAAAAAGGGCATAGATTAAAAATTAAACATTTTGCCGCCAACAGAGGGCCATAAACAAACAAAAAGTAGCGTCTGAGGTCGACGCACGGGCTCAGAAGGACAATGTCTTTTCTGAGAAGTGGACGCCGCGAAATATTAATAAAGCTCCTTTCGTGGTCGGGACGTGTTTCCGCATTGGTTAACCGGTACACAACAGGTGAAAATAAAGCAATGCTTAATGTATTTAGATTGTCATTGTATTTATTTAATTAAATAATTAGCAAACAATGTTGAAGAGACCATTAACGATCTGGCAAGTAACGATTGGATCGAAAATGACAGCTGTCAAAGTTTAAAAAAATATTGTTTGTTGTTTATTTTTCTTAATTTTCTTTAGTTTTTTTAATTTACCTCATTGCATCTACAGCCTGTAGCGTGATTTTAATACATATAATTTCATTACATTTTTCTTCCTTACTCACGTGAGATTATGCAAGTATGCCTATCAAGTGATCAGCAGTTTCCAAAATTTTAGCAGACAGGTTGGTAACATGATGACGTCATTCGATGCAAGTGCTCTCAATATTAAGCGTAAAACCTCCTTTTCATTTAAGCAAGCTAATTAGTATTTTACTGATACCAAGGTTTCAATGTCCTTTATAATGGAGCCTGGGGCATTAGCGCTTACCTAATTATGATGTGATTTTACAAAAATTGTTTTTGCATTCAATGAATGAATTTTATTACACTTGGCATTTTATAACTGATTTGCTAACCTGGTGAAGTGTAACACTATAAGCGTTGGGTTTGATTGTCAGTTCAAAGACGAAATGTTTTGAGGTCTTTTGATGTACCAAATTTTCACGAAAGTGTTAGTAATTGTCACGAAATTATGGGACAGAGATTTCCTAAATTACAACAGCCAATAAATACCTTCCACTAAA